CAAGCTAAAAAAAAAAAAAGATTTTCTTTCCCCCCTTGTCATTTAAACATGAAAATTAGTGCCTAATTTTGGAAGGTTTTACATTGCACTTGGTCATTGTAAAACTGTTTCTTGATGTTGGGATCTGAGAGTCTCCGCTCTATTCTCTTCAGTCTGGTTGTGTCAGAAGCTGGGGCCCGTGTTGGTTACTTAACTAACCAACCCTTGTCAGGGAAATGAAGTCATTATTATTTTTTTCTAGCAAAGACTCAGTATAGTGTCTTTGTATTTTTTTTTTACAGTCTTCTGATGAGAGCTACCTACCATACGATCTGCCTTAGTCAGCTTTTGCTTAGGTGATGTGGTATGTTGAAGGTCAATCTTGAATTATTGGTTTTAACAGTCTCATGGTTTACTCAACAAAAGTGGTAGTGCAAGAGAGCTGTAGAGGAGGAAGGGAAGGAGAAGGAGAAAAACGTGCATTGATGAATTAATGAAAACCCAGCCTTTCTGTAAGTATTCGTTAAAATTACAGAGAGAGAAAGAGAATATCTTTAATTGGGAAAATAAAAAACTATGGATAATGTGGTTAGTAAGACAAAAGAATTATTTTTTTCCTCCAGTTTGACATTTCTTGTATAAAAAGCAAATCTACATAGAAACTCAATTTTTTTTCCTGTTATTTTTCTATCTTGACAGGAACTTGATCTCAAAATAGCAATTAAGTCTTGTCGCCTAGAGCTAAGTACCAAAAACAGAGAGCGGTGGTGCCATGAAATCCAGATCATGAAGAAGTAAGTGTCTTGATGACTTGTGTTTCCCCATCCAGCCAGATCTCTTCGCAAGGAAGGAGGCCAGGATCTTGCGAACTTAGCTATCTCTCCTTCCTTACATGTGTGTTCTATTTAAAAAAAATAACGCTGCATTATGATTAAAGTTTGGTTTTAAAAGTCATGTAATCATTAGCTGTTCAAACTAACTGCAGTAGGGTCTGTACCCACTCATAGTTGGAAATGGGGTTTCCAAGACTATAGTTATAACAGGAGTCTGCCCATCTTTCTCCCTTATAAGCTACTAGTGGGTTTGAACACCTTTGGGAAACAGCATAGCTCACTGTGCAGTGTGACCCCAGAACTCCCTCAGTTATTAGAGAGATAGATGTCAAAATACAATGAGATACTACCTCATGCCTGTTAGAATGGCAGTGATATTTTTTTAAAATGGAAAATATTAAATGTTTGGTGAGGTTGTAGAGAAACAGTGTTGGTGAGTAAGTGAAATGGCACAGTCACTGTGGAAAACAGTTTGACAGTTCCTCAAAAAGTTGAACATAAAATTACCATGTGACTCATCAGGTACAATCATAGGTACATACCCAAACGTAAAAGCAGAAATCGAAACAGAAACTTACATCTCAGTGTTTATTGCAGCAATGTTCACAACATCCAAAAAAGTAGAAATAATATTTTCATCAGCAGATAAGTAGATGAATAAACTGACACACAATGTCATACTAAAAACCCAATACTTTGGAATCTGTTTCAACTCACAGGAACCCTATTGGGCAGAGTAGAACTGCTGCCAAGAGGGTTTCCCAGGCTGTAACTCTATGGAAGTGGACTCCTACATCTTTCTCCTCTGGAGTAGCTGGTGGATTCCACAGGCAGATGAGCACAGGGCAGATGTTATATAGTGAAACCGGAGATTTTTTGTGGTTACTGGCAGTTGAGGCAGCCCTGGTGACACTTAGTTAAATGTTGGGCTCCTAACTGAAAAGTCATCAGTTCATACCTCCCAGAAGCTAATCAATACAAAGATGAAGCCACCTGCTTTCATTAGCATACACAACTGCCAAAACCTGATAGGGCTTTTCTGCTCATATCGTCTCTGCAAGCTGGAATTGACTCTAATACTGTAGTGAATGAGATGTTGAAGGGAAGGGACCAAGGTGAGTTTTTGCTTAGTGGAGTCATTGAGTGGATGTTAATAATGGTGAAACCATGAAAAAATTCTAATGAAAACTATTTCACATCCTGAAGAATGTAATCAGTGCCACTGAATTACAAATGTTGAAAGTGTTGAGATGGCAGGTGTTTAGTTATGTGTGTTTCCACCACAAAATTTCTTAAAGGAAAGAGGAGGGGGGAAAGTCAACTCCTTATTATCAGGCTCTCCTCTCTGAGGGTGAGTTTGTGTCTTCTAGATCTTGATCCATTATCTGTTACAGTTTCTAGATAAATAAAAATCACTACCCCATTTCTTTTGCACCCATTTTTGTGAATATATTTATCTGTTCCTCCATACCACGTTATACTTACACATGTAGTGACATGTAGAGCAATAAACATTTTGTATCTTATATATTACTGAGGCTAGGGATTTGAGAGTGACTTAATAGGTTGAGTCTCTTCCTTGAAATATCAGGATGCTAATTGGAGCTGCAGTTATCTGAAGACTTGAGTAGAACTGAAATGTCCTTGTCCAAACTCATCTATATGACTGTTAGCTAGAAGTATTGCTTTCTTACCATATTGACCGTTAAATGTTCATGATATGACAGTTGACTTTCCTCCTGCAGCAAGTGAACTGAGAGAACAAAAAGAATGTAGCCAGCTGTTTCATGAGCCACCCTCAGAAGTGGCACTTCAAACTTTCCACCACTTCTTTTGTTAGAAATGAGTCACTGTGTACTTCAGGAGAGGGAGAAATATCAGATAATTCGTTGACATTTTAGATGATCCATAATCATACTTGATGTGATTAACAACAACAACAGATGCTTTAAGAGGACCCCTGGTGGTGTAATGCAGTACACATTGTGCTGCTAACTAAAAGGTGGGCTGTTTGAATCTGTCATCAGTTCTTCCTGAAAAAGATGGCATCAAAATTTACAGCCTCACAACAAAATTTACAGCCTCACAAGCCAATGGGTGCATCCTTTGAGTCAGAACCAACTCATCGGCAGTGGATTTGTTTCAGCTTTTGGAATGTGTTACAGGTAATTCTCACTGTCATGACATCTCTACAGTTAGGTATTGAAGAGGGAGGTAAAGCACACAGAAAACAGTTGTAGAGTCAGAAGTGGGTATGACTGTGTTTGTTCTGATTCCTTTAGCTCTTCTCCACTCTGATGGTTCTCACATTTTACTTTGTGGCAAAATCACCAAGAAATTGTGTTATCAATACAGATGTTAATAACATAGATTTCAGACCCTGCTTGGAAATTCTGTTTCTTTAGGTCTCTGTGGCCTGAGACTTTCATCTGGTTTGGGGATCCACTGCAAAATGATGGCGGAGTTAGTAATTAAGTAATTAAAAAAACAAAAACAACAAAATACCCCAAACCAACAACCTGTTAGAAACCAATATATAGTGTAATTCAGGATTTTTAAAAGAATTTTATTATTGTAGTAAAAACATAGGAAATGCAAGACTTGCCAATTCAATATATTTACATGTACAAATTCATTGACATTGATTGGTGAATCATGGCGTGCAATCATCACCTCTCGCTGTTGCCAGATTTTCCATCATGAACACATACTCAGTCAGTGTAGTGGTTAAGTGTTCAGCTTTTACTAAAAGGCCAATTATTTGAATCCAGCAACTGCTCTGTGGGAGAAAAATCAGGTGATACGCAGATTTACAGCCTTGGAAACTCTGGGACTGTTCTGCTCTGTCCTGCAGTTTTGCTGTGAGTTGGAATTATTGGTGAGATGAGAGCTTCTAAACAGCAATCTTGCCTCCTTCCTGTCCCTGGAAACCATGTGATGGGAACATTAGTCTACTTATAAAAGGGTTGTTGTGACAGGTAATGAGTTAATGCGTGTATAATGTTTACAACACTGCTTGACACACAAATGCAATTGTAGTAATAGTGATAGTATTCTTTTCTAAATATTATCTTTTTAAAGTATTAATTTTTAATTCTATAAATGAGCAATGTCTGTCCCTCTCCTAATTAGCTGTGTTTTCAAAACCAATTCTCTTTGAGTGTAACCATCTCCTTGATGCTTTTTAATTGGAATGCTTTCTCTTTCTGGTCAGGTTGGACCATGCCAATGTTGTAAAGGCCTGTGATGTTCCTGAGGAACTTAATATTTTGATTAATGATGTGCCTCTTCTAGCAATGGAATACTGTTCTGGAGGAGATCTTCGGAAGGTAGTGTTTTAAGATGATGACACAGTAAATCATGGACTTTATTGGAATTGCTTTCAGCAGGGTCATACATAAGGATCAGATAATGCTTAATTAAGAGTTATGACCCCTGATTTTGTAATATAGTTTAATTGGAATACAGCCATGTTTGTTTCTTCTTGTATTTATCTGTGGCTGCTTCTCTGCTAAAGCAGCAGATGGCCTGCAGAGCCCAAAGTAGTTGCTATTTGGCTCTTTGTTTGTATGAAAGGAATATATTACTACTATTAGACCAAAATATTAATGTTTGTTTTAAGGTGATTATAAAACAGTTACTTCCTCAATTGTAAGTTTATCTTTCACAACTCTTTTTTGTTGTTTTTTTCCAAAATTTTTATATTGGTTTGCATATCACAGCTCTTTAAGTCTTTCCATATGACCATTTTTGTCTATGAGGTTGTTGGGTTTTTTTTCAACTTTTTCCAAGTTCAAATACTTTTCCTCTTTATTTTTCCGCACCCTGTCACGAGTAAGAGTCATCGTGTCTTTTTGTATAGTGGTGAAAATTTTTCCTTTTCTTTTCTTTTATCATGATTTGTTCTCTCATTTGAATATTCCCTTAGTGTATAGTTATTAACATATATCTATCTTTATATACCTATTACTGTCCAACAATGTTGGTAATACATACTTAAAATTTTTTTTAAGCTACTCAACAAACCAGAAAATTGCTGCGGTCTTAAAGAAAGCCAGATACTTTCTTTACTTAGTGACATAGGTATGTAATTTATATTACAATTTAATGTCCTTTGGTCCATTGAAGATTTCTGTATACTCTTGAGTATTAAGGCAAATTGTTGGTATACTCAACAAAGCATCAGATTTTTTTAACATCTACCATAAATCAGAAGAATCTAATTATTACTATTACTGCTAAAGATAATGTTGTTATGTTTTTGCTTGGGCTAAGCATTTATCTTGCTTTGGAAAAAAATGGTATGAAACATCCTTAATAATTTTTAGTCCTCTTCATTAACATAGAAATTTTGTTGACAGTAGAATTGCATCTCTTAGGCAAGCTTCTGATAGCTCTTAGGTGGATATTCCTATTTAATCAGCAGCATTCCATTTCAAATATCCCCTAAGTAACTAGTACATAGACCTTTGGAGGAGGAGCATGTTGTGCTGCATCCTGAAATACCACGGGGTTTGAATCCACTGGATGCTACTTGGGAGGAAGATAATGGGTGGTCTGTTCCCATTAAGATTTACAGCCCTGTGGAGGGAGGAAAATGTGCAACAATGAATGACTGAAAACCCAACTTTTCTATTAACTTTTGTTAAAATCAGTTTCCAGAAATTTCTTAAATATTTACAGCTTTGGAAATCCAGTGGAAGGTCTGCATGAGTGAGAATCAACTCGGTATCAGTGGATTTGGTTCTTTTGCATTAGGCCCTAGGGGATGATAGCCTGGTGGTGCAGTGGTTAAATTACTGCTAACCAAAAGCTCAGTGAATACAGTGAGAAAAAGATGTGGCAGTCTGTTTCCATAGAGACCTACAACCTTGGGAACCTGCAGGGCATTCTGCCTTTTCCTCTCGGGTTGTTGTGTATTGACATTGGCTCAGCATCAGTGTATCTGGCTTTGTGGGTCTTTGGCGGAAGTTCAACAGCCAAGAATTTTCCCTGCATATTTTGGTTGTACTTTGGTCATAAGGGCAATCCTGGCTGAAGAGGGTGATTTCAGTGGAATGTAAAGGATATAAGCATAAATATAGGGATTTTTTTTCAGTTGTTTGTTTCATTTTTAGAATGTTGATTTTCATAAGTTAAATTAGTATATATATATATAATTCTGAAGTATTAATAAATGTTAACAGATTTTACTGCGGAGGGAATCTGGACTACTGTCACCTTATTTTGTTGTTGTTATTATGTGCTGTCGAGTTGCTTGCAACTCACAACAACCCTATGTTAGCATTGATCATTTTAGTTATAATGTTGTTGTTATGTGCTGTCGACCCTATGCTTGAAGTACAATATTGTCATTGCTAGATCCATCTTAGTTATAATAGTCTGTGGAAATATGAAAGTCCGAACCAATCTATACATAATGTGAAATTAATTTTTTTAACTCAGTGTTTTCTATTATCTCTGAATATATTCTAAACTTTATTTAGGGTCTGGGATTCGTTATTTGCATGAAAACAAAATTATACATCGTGACCTAAAACCTGAAAACATAGTTCTTCAGGATGTTGGTGGGAAGGTAGGTGAACCCGAGGAAATGTTCCTTGCCTATTGAATATCATTTCCCTCACACATTTACTCTTTCAAGTTTGATGTCCTTTGTACTTTTCTGTCCCAATTCTCACCACATTAAACTGTGGTTGAGTTTAGTTGTCTGTGTTCTATGCTAAACAGAAACTCCATTAGAGAAAGAATTTCCAGTCTGGCCTATTCCTGTTTCCAGCATAGCATATAGCAGGGATAAAGTCAGTGAGTAAATAATGTGTTAGCGCTGTTTGATTCCTATACAACTAAACATTTACGTACATGCGTGTGCGCACATATATTAGGGGTCAGCTTTAAGAAAAATAAAATATATATGTACTTTAAAAAAACAACAACTTTAAAAAATCATTTTCCTCTTCAAAATACTGGCTTCTAAGTATAATTCAAATTCAGAGCCTTTCTCAGATTCTGGAATAAGTCATCTTGAAAATAAGCAGAAATTAAGAATTGACTTGTGAGATATTTCTTTGATTACTTTTCTTGCTTTTAGCATATAGTTCCATTTCAGTAAATACTTAAAAACCCAAATGTTCTAACTTGAATTGGTTTGGCAGAACCTTGAATTATTGGCTGGCTCTTTAATTAGTGTAGATGGTGGGCAGCTGGAGGGGATGGTTGTACTGCTCTCAGGAATGTTGCATTTATTTTTTTAACACCAACTCTTTCTACTTTCTTTTGTATCTAAAGATTTCAGGGTGTTCTTGAAATGGAGTTATTTTCTCACATTTGGTCCACTCTATGATGGTACATCAACTTTAGAAGTTGAAGTTAGCCTTACCTCTGTCTTCTAGTATAATGGGTCGAGCCTATTCTCACTAATAAAATAAAAACTTTTATTTAATTTTCACCATGCATAAGGCATTTTGTTAAGTTCTTTATTCAGTGTTTCATTGAATTGTACTAATAATTCTGTGAAGTAGGAACTGTTAGTAATTCCATTATGTGTGAAACTGGAAGAGGTTATATATTAGTAACTTGATCAAGGTCACTTGGGTACTGATAGTGGTGTTCATGATTGAAACATGTTTGTTATTCCAGAGCCCAGATTCTTTACTAACATCCTCTCTACAACCTTTTTTTCCCCCCTCCAGATTTCTCAACCACTTAAAATGACTTTGCTTTTATTATTTTGTAGATCTTGCATAAAATAATTGATCTAGGATATGCCAAAGACGTTGATCAAGGAAGTCTGTGTACATCATTTGTGGGAACACTACAGTATTTGGTAGGCATGTGTTATTTCTTTGAATTTCACTGTGTAAGAGACTCATTCTTATTTTTATTTTGTATTGGTTTGCTCACAAAATTCATTACATTGTTTCATACTGTTCTTCATTCATACTGTTTTCATACAATCATTCTCCTGCATTATGTTTTATCAATCATTCTCATTTTTAATTGTAATGAATATTAAAAAACCCACTGGCATTGAGCCAGTTCTGATTTGTAGCAACCTTCTATGAGGTTTCTGAGGCTGTAATATGCAGAAGACTGCCCATCTTTCTTGTGATGGAGCAATTGGTGCATTCCAATTACTGATCTTAACATGTTTATCCATTATGCTATCAGGGCACCTTAGTCATGAATATAGTTAAAGTAAGATCTTCTATACAGTGTTGTTGAAAGTATTGTTTTCCTCTCTCTTTCTTTTTTAAAGGCTCCAGAGCTTTTTGAAAATAAACCTTACACAGCCACTGTTGATTACTGGAGCTTTGGAACCATGGTATTTGAATGTATTGCTGGATATAGGCCTTTTTTGCATCATCTTCAGCCATTTACCTGGTAAGAAGTGGATGAGAAGTTTGGTGTGGTTAGTGGAAATGGAATTTTAATTTTTTTCTTTAGGTATAGTTGTGCTTTTAAAACACAAAATGTAATTACACTACATGGAATGCAGTTGTGTTTGTCAGAATCAAAATGTCAACTTTATTTTTGTAGGCATCAGAGTTATCAAAGGTAACTTTATTTTTGTAGGCATGAAAAGATTAAGAAGAAGGACCCCAAGTGTATATTTGCATCTGAAGAGATGACAGGAGAAGTTCGGTTCAGTAGCCATTTACCTCAACCAAATAGCCTTTGTAGGTAAGTGTTTTTAGCTGAGGAGTTTTTCCTCAGTTTCTCCATGATCGTTAAGAGAACAGTAGGGTAGTTGTCTACCTCAAGTTACATTGTCCAGGAGCACGTTCAATAAGGATGGAGATATTATACTGCTAGCCACAAGGTCACAGGTTCAAATCCACCAGTTGGTCCACAGGAGACAGTTGAGCAGTCTCCTCCTGTTAAGAATTATAGCCTCAGAAATGCAGTGAATGGTTGTTGTGAGTCAAAATCAACCTCAGGGGGTTTTGTGCTAGCAGCCACATGGTGTTATAAGTACTTGAAAGCTGATTAGAGTAAATAAGAACTTAATTTTAAAAGTTAAAATTTTTGATTAATCTAAATGTAGATAGAGTGATAACCATATTGGACAGCTCGAATCTAGTGGAAACAACTGTTGCTATTATTCAACTGATTTTGTTTACCTACTAAGAAGATTTTTAAGATTATGTGTTCTTAGAAAATGGAGCTAGACTTACCTGTTTGAGTTACTATAAACTAAATATCTATTTTGTTACTGTTTTTTATAGAAAACATTTGTTTCTTATTATTCCATTAATTATTTGAAAATGATACAAATTGTTGATGAGAAAGAAAATGGACAGCCAGTAAAATTATGGGTAGTCCTCAGGTTGGAAATTAGATCTATTACTCTGTCTTTTAGAATCTTTAGGTCAATCAAAATAGATGCATTTAACTCTTAATTTACCTTTACTTTGGTACAAAAAAAGGCTCAAAGCTATTCCAGTGATTTAAAAGGTGAAAATGTTAACAAGTAAAGGTGATTGTAATGAAGACTTTGTTCTGAGTCTGCATTGTTTTAGTTGATTCAAAGTGAAGACAGATTTATATAATTCTAACATTGACATGAAATAGTGTTGCATTCATCATCAAAAATGACATTTCAAGATCTATCCTGAGGTACAATGTCAGCAATAGGCTAATATCACAAGAACCTATTAATATGAACACACCTATGACTATAACCAAAGGTGAAGAAATTAAAGATTTCCTCCGACTTCCTTACAGTGCTGATTTCTGCCAACCTCTTTAAAATGCTAAAAAGCAAGGATATCAGTTTAAAGACTGAAGGGTACCTGACTCAAGCCATGGCATTTTTCTCCATTTGTTTCATATGTTTGGGGAAATACGACAATGAGTAAAGACTAAAGAAGACTTGATGCATTTGAATTGTGAGTTGGTGAAGAGTATTAAATATCATTTGGATTGCCAAAAGAACAAATACATCTGTCCTGGAGAAAGTGTAACCAAGGATGCATCAGATTGTGTGTCCTTTCACAGTACTTATTAAATCTATATGCTGAATGAATAAACTGCATCATAAGAGTGGAGAATGTGACATCAGATTGGAGGAAGACTCATTAACAACCTACACCATGCAGATGACCGCTCTGCTTGTTGACAATGAGGGGAACTAGGGGAGCTCTGGTGGCCTAGTGGCAAGGAGATGAAACTACAATCCCAGAGGCGCACGGTTCAAATCCACCAGATGCTGTGCCGGGGAAGGAGGGACAATCTCCTCCTGTACCAGTCAGATCTGATTTGACGGTACACTCACACAAAAAAAATAATAAAAATTTAAAAAAAGAAAATGAGGGGAACTCAAAACACTTAGTGAAAGTCAAAGACTGTATCATTCAGTATGCATTACATCTCAAAGAAAACAAAAATTCTCACAACTGAACCAACAGGCAATATCATGATAGAGCAAAGACTGAAGTTGTGAAGGATTTAATGGGGGATCCTTAGTACTGTAAAAAAATAATCATCAGGAAAAGGGTGTTGGACCCAGATACCTGAACAACAAAACTCTGGCAGTGGGGAAGTTTAACATGTGTGGGGTCAAGGGAATACTAGATCTACAGATGCTGAAGGAAATAAGGACTTTCCTTCATAACTGACAAAGAGAGAGGGCTTTCTTTTGAGCTTGTATCCTGAATTTGGACTTTCAGCAACCTTCAATATGGGTTACATCTCAACATCAGGGAAACAAAAATCCTCTCCAGTGGGCCAGTAGGCAATATCCTGATGGATGGAGAAGAAATAGAAATTTTCAGTCATTTTGTCTTGTTTGTATCTGCAGTCAACACGCTTGACAACAGCAGCCAGGAAATCAGAAGACGTATTGCATTGGTAAAGTCTGCCATCAGGGACCTCTCCAAGGTGCTGGAAAACAATGATGTCAGTTTGAAGACAGGTGCAAATAATTCAAACCATAATTTTTTTCAGTTCCTTGCTATGCTACTGAAAGGTGGACAGTGAATAAGTAAGACAGAAGAAGAATCGATGCCTTTAATTTGGGGTGTTGAAGAAGAGGGCTGAATATCCCACAGACTGCTTGAAAGGACAAACAAATGTGTCTTGGAAATGGTGCAATTGGGGTGTTCCTTGGAGGCAAGGATGGTGAACCGTGGTCTCAGTTAACTTTCGGCATGTTGTCAGGAGGGGCCAATCCTTGAAAAAGAACATCGTGCTTGGAAATGTTGAGGATCAGCGCAGGAGGGAAAGACTTCCAATGAAACGGATTAACACAGTGACTGTAACCGTGGGCTCAAGTAGGCCAGAGATGGGCAAGATGTCACAGGATAGGACAGGTTTCATATGATTTCATATCATAAGGTACTGTGATTAGTAGTCAACTTGGTGTCACCTAACAAGAACAAACTGTAAGAAAATAAATTTGTTAAAGAAATCAAATGATCTATTGGGCAGATCTATTGCCCTGGAGATCTTGAACGTGGCAAAGAACAAGGGTATCAATTTAAAGATAAGGTGCACCTGTCAAACTATGGTATTTTCACTAGTTGCATGTGCATGTCAAAGGTAGACATTGAATAAGGTAGACTGAAGAAGAATTGATGCTTTGTATTGTAATGCTGGCAAAGAATATTGAATATACCACAGGTAACCAAAAGAATGAACAAATCTCTCTCAGAAGAAGTATAACCAAAGTGCTCCATGGCAGCAAGGTTGTTGTGTTGAGAATTTGGCTGAAAGCAGAGAGTACCAGAGGAATGTCTATCTGTGTTTCATTGATTATGCAAAGGCATTTGACTGTGTGGATCATAGCAAACTCTGGCTGACTCTGAGAAGAATGGGAATCCCTGAACACTTGATCGTGTTTAGGCGAAACCTATACTTGGACCAGGAGGCAGTCCTCAGAACAGAGCAAGGAGATACTGCATGGTTCTAAATTGAGAAGGGTGTATGTGAAGGATGTATTCTGTCTGCATACCTTTTCAGTCTTTATGCAGAACAGATCATTCGGGAGTCTGGGCTGTATAAGGAGGAATGTAGCATCACAATTTAGCCTTTAATATGGATTGAAGCTCAACATCAAGAAAACAATGATTCTCACCACGGGGCCAATTGGCAGCATTATGATAGATGGTAAAGAGACTGAGATTGTTAACAATTTTAGTTTGCTTGTCTCCACAATCAACACTCTTGGTACCAGCAGCCAGGAAATCAAAAGACGGATTGCATTGGAAAAGTTGGCTGTTTGGGACCTCTCCAGAGTACTGCAGAGCAGCAGTGTCAGTCTTGAGACTAAGGTGTGCCTTACCCAGGCCATAGTCTTCACAATTGCTTAATATGCGTCAGAGAGCTGGGAAATGACTAAAGATGATAGAAAGAGAATTGATGCTTTTGAGCTGTAGTGCTGGAGAAGAGTATTGAAGGTACCATGGACTGCCAGAAGAACAAAAAGGTTTGTCCTAGAGAGGGTGAAACCAGGCTGCTTCTTGGAGGCAAGGCTTCTGAAGCTTTGTCTGACATCCTTTGGGCATGTTGCAAGGAGGGACTGACTTGTCCTTGGAGAGGGACGTCAAGCTCGGAAGGGGGAGGGATGGAGAAAGAGGGACACCATCGATGAAATGGATTGATGCAGTGACTGGGGTAGTGAGGGTAGATGTGTCAGAGACAGTAAAGTTGGCACAGGATAGAGCAGGTTTCAGGGCTGTTGTACATAGGTTCACCATGAGTCACAGTTGACTCAACAGCACATAACCACAACATACTTTGGGCTTGTTACCAGGAAAAGTTAGTCCTCAGAAAAGGATATCATGCTTGGCAAAGTGAATGGCCAGTGATGGAGAATACTTTGAATGAAATGAGATGATATGCCGAGTACTGTGTTCTCGAGGACAACACAGATTGGGAGGATGATACAGGATTGGAGCTGACTCAACAGTACCTAACATCAATAACAAAGATAGTGGTGCAGTGTTTAAAGATGATAGGCTCCTCACTCAAAAATGGTGGCTCACTCCATTGCTTTGGATGTGTGAGGGCTCTCCATACCAAAACCCATAGCCCATTGTCATCAAATTGATTTCCATGTGTAGGGACTCTGTACAGCAAGGTAAAATTATACCATGGAAGGACCAGTCTTTGGAGAACGGCATTGTGCTTGGAAGAGCAGAGGGACAGACCCCAAATGAGATGGATTAACACAGTAACTGGGGTAATAAGGGTAGGTGTATTGGAGTCAGAAAAATTGGCTCCGGATAAAGCAGGGTTCAGTCATAATTGACTTGACAGCACGTAACAACAAAAATTCTTTAGGGAAGCAGACTCTCTCATCTTTCTCCGGTAGAACCACTCAGAGATTTGAACCATTGACTTTTTGGTTAGTTGAACACTTTAACCACTATGCCACTAGCTAGTCCTGCCAGTCTATGTTCCTTAAAGTGCTTGCATCTCTCATTCCAGGGTTCTACCTGTCATTTTTCCCAGTTGCAGTGGCAAATGACGCAAATTATAAAAATTCTAGTCCTTTCCTGTTTCTCTTCATTGGCTATGACAGACCAGTGACCAGTGTGAAGTCTTGCTTAAAAGGATACGTAAGATTAGGATGTTTCTAATTTGAGGACTGCCTGTGTTCTTTTTTAAAAAATAATGTTTAAGGAAAATTAACTCACTCACTGCTGTTAAGTCCAGTTCCAACTCACGACAGCCTCCACTGGGTTTCCAAAGCTGTGACTCTCCGTAGGTGACCGCCTTGTCATTGTCCAGCAGAATAACTGGGGGATGTGAACCACCAACTTTACTGTCAGCAGCACAGCATGCAGCACATGATACCACCAGCACCAGAGTCCCTTAAAGAAAAGTGAGAACATCTAAATATGATTTTAACCTTATTTTTTAATCTTCTTTAGTTTAATAGTAGAACCCATGGAAAACTGGCTGCAGTTGATGCTGAATTGGGATCCTCAGCAAAGAGGGGGACCTGTTGACCTTGTTTCAAAGCAGCCAAGATGTTTTCTGTTAATGGATCACATTCTGAATCTGAAGGTTGGTTTTCATGGTGTCAACTTTGTTAAACCTCCTTTGAAGTTAATATTTATTTTGAAAATTAACAGTGTATTTTAATTTTTTCTCGATGTTTATTGAAAAAGAAAATTCTGTTTATTGAGCTAATGCATTTTATTTCTTTAGCAAGCCATCTCCTTAGTTATGCTTCTAAGTGGCTTTTTTTCTTACTCCTTTGAAATAGCTTTTATGTTGTAACCTCATTCTTTAGGTCTAATTATAATATACTCGATTTAGTGCAGAATGGCTGGTAAGCTTCTATCTATACTTCCCATTATGCCGTTCATGTAGCACGGACTGCCCATCTCCTGAAATGCCTTTTTACTCCCCTGTCCACATATTGAGTAAATAGATGGATCCATTTAAGATGGATTTCTTCTCCCTTTCTCGCCTTTCCCTTCAGCGTACTGTGGTAAGTGGGATCTAGCAGCACTTACGCTGGCTTGACGTCCATCCTCTAAATGTCCAACATAACATTTCTATCCAAAATTCCCATTATTATTAGACTTGTATTTCATGTCTATTTCTGTCAATGGCAGCCATCCTGGTGTGAGATCTGCCTGGAGGGGGAATTGAACGGCAAGTCTCAGAGGTTCATTTGTGTTATTATAGTCCATGGCAATTATGAAGATTCCTTTCCCTGACCCACTCCTCTTTTTAAACATAAATGATTATTATATATTAAACGAAAATCTCTTACAATCTGTTAAGAGATATAGTGACAGTCCTGTTATGACATTTGGAATTGCCATTTAAAAAAAGAATTCATTTCAATTTGGCTGTTCAGTTTGGTGTTCCTGTGACACTACTTAATTGAACGTCTCTGTCAAGACTTGTAAATAGAATTAATAGTGGCCTTGGACTAATGCCTTTACCTCTGTAAGCATGTTGAACAGAGGTAATTTTAATCATTTGCATATATTGTTAAGTTTTGGAAAAACTGAGGAATTCATTTGCATGGTTTATCCAAGGACAGTGGAAGGAAGAGAATTTAAAATCATGTTGGGTTCAAAAAACTGACCTCTTTGGCTCACCTTGATTATCTGGATTGAGGCCCATCCAACTCAGCCTCACACCTGTTTGGCGTCCTTGGACTACTTAGGCTGGGGTGTTAGTTGAGAGCAACAAGATCATTTTCTTATCTAACTTTAGACCCTATTGCAGGTTACTTAACTGCTCTGGGACTTTGGTAAAGTATGAAAAATGAGGACAAAAATGCTTTTCTTGTTTAAAGAGAAGCCTACTATCAGAAGATTTTGACTCCTGGCATGGGGGTAGATAGACAGTAATGTAGCTAGGAGTTCTGGTTCAGGTTAACCATTTTATCCACTGTGTGATTCCCAAACAAGTAGTATCTCACTTTCTCCCTCATTCCTCCTTGCTGTCAAATCAGAACTGGCCCTTCGTTGGTTTTCCAAGGTTGTGAATTGCAGGAGAGGAGATCACCCATTTTTCTCCCTTGAAGTGCTAGTGGATTCAGACTGCCAGAGAGGCCAACTTGGCCTTTGGATTAGCTCTGCAATTCCCTTCAGCTTACACCACCAAAGCTCCCCAAACCTTGTGTAGTACAGAGAGAATGCCTTTTGTTAGTATTTCCCTATAATATATTTAATACTGAGTCTCATGTAGCAAGTTATCAATAATCTTAACTCCCTTTTTTCCCCCCATTTATACAGATAGTACACATCTTAAATATGACCTCTGCAAAGATAATTTCTTTTTTGTTGCCTCCTGATGAAAGCCTTCATTCACTGCAGTCTCGTATTGAGCGTGAAACTGGAATAAATACTGGTTCTCAGGAGCTTCTTTCAGAGACAGGAATTTCTCTGGACCCTCGGAAACCAGCCTCACAATGTGTTCTCGATGGAGTTGTAAGAAAATTCTAATATACCTAGACTGTGAGAAACTGTATAAAAAGATTGCGTGTTTAGTGTATTACTATTTTCATATATGTGTATATATTGTCCTTTGGGGGCTGCTGAACATATTATTAAAATTCTACCTATCACTCTTATTATTGCTTTGTGAGATTTTCTGTGACTTTTTCGCTGATGCCAATTCTGTCCTCCCTCTTTCTCTTCTTTCTTGTACTTGAAGCCTAAACCTATTACCATCAAGTGATTATGACTCATAGCGACCCTTACAGAACAGAGATTTCCACAGCTGTAAGTCTTTATGGAAGCAGACTGCCACATCTTTCTCCTGTAGAGTAGCTGGTGGATTCCAGCTGCCAGTCTTTCAGTTAGCAGACATTGTGCTTTTAGGACTTCTCTTACTTGAAACGTGTTGTTGTTACGTGCTGTTGAGTCGAGTATGACTCTGTGATAGTGACCTCTTTAAACAACAGATCTGAAACCTGCCGTGTCCTGTGCCATCTTCACCATAGCTAAGCCTATTGCTGCAGCCACTCTATCACTCTGCCTTGTTGAGGGATCTTCTTTTCTTTTGCTGAACTTTAATCTGTAAGTCCTGCCTAAGATTATGTAGATGGTAAAATATGACTGTGGCCATAACCTCCCCCCATACTTTTTTTTAAACTTTATTGAGGTACATTTTACATATCATTCACTCATTTCAA